AATGTTAGCCGAAATCCCACAAAGGTAGTTGCATCAGTAAAAGAAAACTGTTCAGGGGCTGCCTTACTCCGCCATTCTATCCTTGTGATACCACAATCCATGGCTCTGGGCGCCAAGGCCGGTCGCAAAGACTATTGTCCTGGAGCCTTCCTCCGTCGTCTTGCAAATCGTCGCCTGAATGACGGCAAGCCCAACCTTTTTCCCCATCGAATCTGCTTCCCGCGCCAGATCCGACTTACACGCCCCCGGGCATGAATAGTTGACCACGACCTCTAGTTCATTTTGAGGTGAGAGAGCAAGCTTTGCAATCTCTCTAACCGCATATATGATAAGCAACTTGGAAGTGCAGTATCTGATAGGCGCCTGCCCAAAGTTTTCTTTCTTGTTCAGAGCTTCTATGCAGTTGGGGGCATCCTGCCAAGGCGCTCCATCCGACACCAATTGATGCCCCCTTGAAGCGACAATGCTTAAACACGGCTTCCAGTCAGGTCGTGATGATTGCCGCATCTTTGGAAGTAACAGCAAAGCCAAAAGCGTCGTCGCCAGAGTATTCACTTGCAGAGTTTCTTCCCAGCCATCTTTTGTCAGTCCAAATTGAGCCTTATCGACGGCAGCATTAAGCAAGGCAATGTCGATTGATGAAAGCTCTTTTGTGGCGCGGTCCGCAAATGCTTTGACAGATGCAAACGATGCCAAATCAATAATCCAGACATCAATGACGCATGCTTTGGCTGTTTCGGGGCTGAGGCTAGAGGTGATGTTCCGTTTAGCTTCATCGCCCTTGTTCTGTGATCGAACGCCCAGGATGACTCGAGATGCCCCTAAGCGAGCGTAATGTCGGGCAGCTTCGAGGCCAAGACCACCGCTGGCACCTATGACGATGACAGTTTTGCCGGGAATGGGAAGGTTTTCGAGAGCCTCAACACTGGGATATGACCAGCGGTTTGTCATCAAACCCCAAACGACATGTGCGGCGCTCATTGTGAACTAAAAGAGTTGTGATGAAACTGTCGAATTAAAACGACGGTAATAGTGAGTTGGAATAGGATTTGGAGGGTGTAATTCAAATAGTGAATATATCAGATCAAATAACTGAAGAAATGTATAAGTTGTAGAATATTAGCTTCTTTCTTATATAGTCTGCAATTATAAGTCGAGAGAACTGTGTATTAGTTCCCATGTTGATTTCCAGCGAAGGTAGGCGCCTTTATATATTCGTTAGCGTTCAGGTAACAACGTAAGTTGAGTTGTCTCTTCTCAAAGGCTTCAGATGAAGATGTGAGAGTTGGAATCCGTAGATTTACAGTCAATACCAAATTCTTAGAGTATCGTATACCGCAAAAGGCACTCTCCGTCATCTCAAGATACAGATCAACTCGCGACGATTCGCCCTTGCCTCAGAACATCGTCAAGCTAATCCTACAAAGGTATGGTATCGTCATCCGACTGCATTAGCGCCAGCCTTCTGAAACCCCACCAGCTTTCCCAATTTGGTCATACCCAGTCAGCAGGAGACATTCAAAGACAGACTGATGACCGTCCACACTCCAGATTCATCCTCCTCCTATCTACGGAATCCTCTTCCGCGTTTTTCCTGGACAGAACTATTGGTCTAACTCAACAGATACATGCGATGGCTACCTTTCAGAGATTTCGTCTAGTGCCTCTACGGGACGAGGTGAGTTCAATCTACTTGGTGTGGACCGGACAAGGTTGGCCAGAAGCTGAATCAGGAGGTCCAAGCAGAAGCTGGATGAAAAGGACGACTGGTCGGGGCTCAAGGATGCCAAGGAAAGGAGGAAAAGACAAAATAGGCTCAACCAGCGGGCAGCTCGTAAGGATTCCTACCTCTCCCGGTCCCTCTTTTATTTAAACTCTTGCATCGGAGAATAATAAAATTGACCCGGTATCCGAACCAGGCCGGCGGCAGAGATTGAATCTTGCCCAGGAGCACGAATCAGAGACGACAACGGCCGTACTCCCAGCAGCAGCTTCTGCAGGCGAGCGCCAGAAGCCTATAGTCCCTTCTCATCAGGTTTATTTCCCGCTTACACCCGACCACAAACTGCTCTACGTCATTGTTCTCAATGTCTCCCGGGCAGTCATCACAAACTTCTTCATCCTAAGTAGCATCTCGCCGATAGCCTCCACGATGTGCGACGTCCGCCGTACCTTTTCGCTTAGCGACCTGAAGCTCGCTCCTCAAAATCTTGATGGCACTCCTGCTATGCCCCCAGCGTTTACACCCACGAGGCTCCAGGCGGAGATTCCTCACCCAGGCTGGATTGACCTTTTCCCATCGCCTCAGCTTCGTGACAATCTTATCCTCGCAGTGGAGGAGTTCAATATTAATGAGGACGAGATATTGCAAGACTTGATTGGGGATATATTCGCAAGCATTGGCTGTACACCAGATGACTTTCGCGCTCCATCAGATGACAGTGAATCGACGCCAAACAGGGAATCGTCGCCCATTGTCGAGTTGGACGAAGAGATTGAGGTTTCTACACCGCCGCCTACAACAGTAGGCATGACTCCATTGCAAGAGTATCGATTAAGGACCTTTACTCCCGCGAGCTCGACTTCTACAGAGCTCGGCATTCTCTCATGGTCAGATCCATGGGACATATCGGGGTGGGAGTTCACGGAGAAGTTCTTAACGAAATGGGGATACCTGCTGCAAGGGTGCCCAGATGTGATCAACGCTGCCAATAAGTGGAGGACGTTGCGTGGTGAAGATCCTCTGGTTGTGGATCTCTAGCAAAGGGCTAAAGGCGAGGGAGTATCAGGGATTTGCCATTGGCTATGCGCAATTGAAATTAACAACAGGCGGCTTACAGGCGTTTTGGAGAAGGCTTATTGAACGAACAGAACAACAAACTGATAGTATTTACAGAAACGATAGATTGCTCTCCTTTTATCTTACGTAGCCATTAGGGAATAAAAGACTTTCTCATTTTCAAATGACCGCTGCCTCAGCTTGCAATCTAGGGGAATAGAGAGAAATAACCCATATAAGGCTTTTCAAGATACTATCAGTTATTGTATTTGTTTGTATATCTATCATAATTGAAGTAAGCTTACCTGCATGTGGGTTATGTCAGTCGAGTCATTTCGCTGACGTTTTCATTTTTGTTGATGTCCACAGCGTCAACTTCTAGGATTTGACATCCCGATTAATAGGCCCGTAATAACATTTCCAGTGTCTCAAACTATGAAGGAAAATATACCTCGTGTTCAAAATTGCTACAGCCATAGCCAATTGAGACAGTTAACCTTGGAACAGTAATACCAGCTCTGGGGTAGCTGATTCAAAAAAGAAATGGGAGTGGAGAGCGAGACAAAAAAGAATGCCCACTATCAGAGTCGAACTGATCACCTTGTCATGTCAAGTATTTACTAGTGACACGCTATACCGCTTAGCCAAGCGGGCAAAGAGCTTTCGATGTTGTCTCTCTAGCCAAAGCAAGTTATACACGCTTGACAATCGGCGTCGGAAATAGCGAGGTCTTCATTATTCCGTAGTTGGTTTAAATCTCTTATTGATCTACAATGCAACCAGCCGATGCAAGCGAACCTAACGAAATCCAAGCACCCGAATAGTTACAGCCTTGAAACTACGGCTCATCAATGCCTTGTGATTCGCCTGCCTCGAGCATTAATAAAGCGCCGCGCCCAGCATACGACCATGAGCCCACTCCGACAGAGCTATTGCAGGATTCGGAGCAGCATGGGCTATTTCTTGGCATCGGTAGTTGCATAGCGCGCGCAATATGTTTCCTCGGGCACCGATGACGAAGGTTTAGGTCCAGAAGATGCTGGGAATAGAGGCAAGCTCGGGTATTATAGCGAGATGGACTGAGTTCAGCTTCGTTGGAAAGGTGAAGTAGAGGAACCGTACCCGCGGAGTACAGGTACTTGCGAGGAACAATCCAGGGATTCTTCTATGGATGAATACGACAGGATCGGCGATTGCGCGAAGATGGCTTCAAATGGGAAACGGAGTCTGCTTGATAAGAATAATATTCGGATGTCTCTGCCAATGGTAGACCTGACCGATAGCTTTTGTATGTACCTAGTTGGCGGTTCGAGATGTCTCTCGGACAGACGCTCCGCATTGGAGAAACCGGCGTTTAACGGACGGCAAGAGATGCGCCGTCTTTCGGACCAACATGTGAAAGTTCCAAGCTCCCCTTTTTCTGACGCCTGCACTGCTAATAAATAGGTAGCAACTGCTGTCAACTCAATGTCAACGACGGCCCATCACATGTTGTCCTCAATTCTACACCGGCAAATTAGCGCAGGCACGGCTTAACTCGGGGGTTTGAGTAGCGCCGATGCAGGGACCAAATTTTTTTTTCTCTCAGATCTAGACCCTTGAGTGGCCAAAAGCTGCTCCCAATTCAACTCTAGTACATTGATAGCAGAGGCAATTGATAGCAGTCTGCTCAGTACCTGCACCTGTACTCGTACGCCGAATGGATTTCGTAATTGCGCCGGGAGGGTGTTAGACCTTCCCGGGTAGGCGTTACTAGGCGTTATAAATCCAACTGCGTCTCGATGCCGCAAGTGGCACCTGCGAGTACCTAAAAGGTGGTGAAAAAAAATCGTTGCATCATGGAAGCGACGTCTGTGAATTGCCTCTTTCCCTCGCGAATCTCGCCCTGTGTCGTTTGAACAATGGCTTTCCTCGTTTCATCTGACTCTGGCAACGCTCTTCTTTCATCTCCAGCTCTCTTATCTTGACTCACAGGGTGGTTGCACCGACTAAAATAATCTTGCGCAACAAGGATTCTTCACCACAGCAAACAAATTGCGTGATCACCCTACCTATCAAGCTACTGTATCTCTCTTCGCAATCCTGCCAGCGGGCATCGGAAACGCCGCTCTTCAACCTCGCCCGCTGTCTGTCCTGGATCAACGGGTGAGCTGAAACAGCAAGGGAGAAGAAGAGAAGAAGAGAAGAGACAAGAAAAGATCCCAGCGGCACACCCCGCGACATGCCGGAAATGCAGCCTTCCGGCCAAGTCAAGGAGTCCTTTGATGGAGACGAGATCCTCAACTCGCGCTCCGTCTTGAACCATACTCACCACACATGGGCGCGCACCTTTTCCTGCCTCCCAGAGCTTTATATCCAGCCCGAATCGCTGCAGGAAATCGAACGGACTGTCAATTGTGCGCGAAAATTGCGCAGGCGAATCACCACTGTGGGATGCGGACACTCGCCCTCTAACATAACCTGGACCTCGCAATGGCTGGTCAACCTGGACAAGTACAACAAGATCCTCTCGGTGGACGACAAAACCGGCATCGTGGTGATGCAGAGCGGCATTCGCCTGTATACGCTGTGCGAGGAGCTTGAGCGCCACGGCTTGGCCATGCCGAATCTCGGCAGCATCAACCAGCAGTCAATTGCCGGCGCCATCTCAACGGGAACCCATGGCAGCAGTATCCGCCACGGCCTCATGTCCGAGGATGTCCTCGCTCTCAAAATCACTCTTGTTGATGGTAGCACCAAGTTCTGCTCCAAGAATGACAACCCCGAATTGTTCCGAGCCGCGCTGCTCTCTCTCGGCTCACTTGGCATCATCTCTGAAATCACCTTCCGCGCTGTCCCAGCCTTTAGCCTCAAGTGGAAGCAGACCATTGACTCTGATCTGCGAATGTTCAACGCCTGGCCAAAGGATCTGTGGACTCAGAGCGAGTTTGTGCGGGTCTGGTGGTTCCCTTACACACGCCGGGCGGTAGTCTGGCAGGCCGAGAAGACGGAAGAAGAGCATCGTGAACCACCGGTGAGCTATTACGATGGATCCTTGGGTTATTACGTCTATCACAATCTGCTTTACCTGGCCCAGTACGTGCCTCGAATCCTTCCGTGGGTTGAGTGGTTCGTATTTGGCATGCAGTACGGGTTTGCCAACGGTTCCACAACGACAGCTGTCCAGCCAAGCCGCAAAGCCCTGTTGATGAACTGTCTCTATTCTCAGTTTGTCAACGAATGGGCGATTCCCCTGCACAACGGCCCAGAGGCGCTTCGCAGACTCAGCTCCTGGCTCAACCAACTCACGCCCCATGACCCTGACTATGTGCCGCACAACATTCCCTTCTCGGCCGAGGGCCTCTACGTTCATGCGCCAGTTGAGGTTCGCGTCAGTGATACGACTCTTACTTCAAATGCCCGGCCTTATCTTGACCCAACTGTCAAGGATGGCCCGACGTTGTATCTCAACGCCACTCTGTACCGGCCTTATTGGCGCGATCCACCATGTCGGGAACGTTACTATCAGGCATTCGAATGGCTGATGAAGGATATGGGCGGCAGACCCCATTGGGCCAAGAACTTTGAAACCTATAGTTCCGAGATCGAAACCATGTATGGCGGTGACCTGGACAAGTTCAGACACATACGCGATGGTGCCGACCCGGACGGCCTATTCCTCGGGCCTTGGCATAGAGACCGCATCCTGCGCCAGGATGCTTGGTATGACCTCGAGGAGAAGAATTAGGGAGATTAATCCTTTCGAGTACCCTCTTTTCAAGACAGGGATTACGATTTCGGCCGAATCTGAGCTACGCTGTGGCCCTGCACGGCGGCAACTCTGGGCGATGTCGTGGGGGTCCTCAGCAAGGGAACAGTTTAGCATTCATTTGGTGTAGCACCATGATAGATTTTGGGCGGCAATCCTTCATTAGGCCATGTAAATATTTCCCTCTGGGCCGCGATGATGTCTCTTTTGGAGACGTCTGTAGTAGAATAAGCAATAGGCCCAGCACAAAATACAATTAGAGTTGTTATACCCCCTAGCACGTTGGTTATCTGCTAAGCACAGTAGCTTGACAGCTCGATTCATACAAATCAGGCAAAAAACACTGGATCCTGTCAAGGGCCATCACATGCAGGGACGACCAAATCCGTGATGGAGGCTGAAGACGTGGTGGTCGACCTGCCGCATTGATGAGGGAGATCGTCGAGGAACCACATGGTCCGTAGGTTGCGAGTAGTTAGCCTGCCGGATTCAAGCAGCATAAGCGCTGCCGTCCCTTGACGGGATATCTGTAGAACTAGGTAGACTACTAGGTAGAGAGCTCGATGACAACATCTAGACTCTTGATCCAAGCGGCTGATCCTAAGGAACTAGCAAGTTTCCAGACATACGAGCATACAACTTACAAGCATATAACTCCGTTGAGCGAAACAAGGGCGCCGATTGGACGCGCTTATCATGGGCCGCAAGGGGTCCCTTTTTTTTTCTCTTCTTGTCTCTCTTATATGCCACTTTATTTACACCCTGCAAGCATCTGTTTTGTTAGCTTGGTACTTTTCTTAATGCCACCGGCAAGTTGATGACGGTCAGTACCAAGCTAACAAAATAGATGCTGGCGGGGTGTAGTAGTTTTACCTGGGTTTGATTCCTAGCACGAGTCTACGCTCGTATAAACGGGAAAATGGAACTACTACCTAGTACTCCTGTATGTATGTCATCTGCAGCAAGCATGAAGAATCCTTCAGGATAGATAGCCATGTACAGTTTTTCATTTATTCGCTATCTCTCCTTCCGTTTCGTTGCCGTTGGTTCCTCGGCTGTGAGTGAGCCGTATTTTACGACTTATGGATCCAGGTTTCAATTTCAGTTTCGAAGGATTTTCCTGCTGAGCGAGAGCCGTCTGGCCCCCCACCGGGCCGTGTATGCTTACCTGCACTTTATATTAGTATACCTTGTAGTATGTGTCAACTTACTCGTTGCTTTTGTCTTCTTACTCGTATGTGGTGGTTATTTGCCACGGAACCCCGTTTCTTGGCACAAACATTGGAAACCGGGCTTTTGACCTACCCTGGAATATTTCGGGCTCCTCTTTGCCCGCCTACCTAATACAGGGCATTGGTGGATCTTTTCTTTCTTGACCTTTTATATCGTCGGTTTCGTTTTTTCTCTTTACTATTACTGTAAGAGGCTGGCCAATCAAAACAGCTCCAAGGATCATCCTGACAAGAAACCTTCAAATTCCAATGAGAAAACGTAGTAACTCGTATGTAGACGGAGGGGGGGAAAAGGTTCCTGGTGTCTTTTCTTATTGGTGCGGAGAAACTCTGTTGCTCTCTTTCTGATAGATAGAAGCGGGATAAAGGAAGGTGAGAGAGAATGGGAGAGGGGGTGGCGTTGAGTGAGCTGCCATTGGATGTTTGGGGGCCTTGGAGACAAGACAAAGCGACAGACAGGCTGGGTGCCCCCCTTGACCTCTCTTTTTCTCTTTCTTGTTCCTTCAACTGGCACACAAGTAACTAGTCAGGCTGTGTGTCCTTTGACTCGCGTCTATACATGTACTCTGACAGTATGATGAGAAAGCTCGCATCCGGGGGGGCTTACGTACGACGGATATGCGAATGCGAATCCTACCAATCTAGGGGGCACTTTGTATGGGCTGTGCCGCTGATGTGCGTTGCGTGCCCTTTTCTCGACAAGTCTTCTCACGACATACCTTGGCAGCACCCTCTTTTGGGTGCAAAAGGGCCGGCCAGGAAGGGGTCTTGACAGGACCCCCTTCCGATGAAGCTCCCCTGGTCTGCCCAGCCTTCTACCTGTTCTTTTCTCTTTCCCTGTTGTCCCTGTTGTCCCTCTCTTGTCCCGTTATTACAGAACTATAATCTTGCAGCCGTTTGCTGCCCAATCCCTGGCCGCCGAATCTCGGCACATGCAAAACCGGCCACCAAAACAGACACTTGGCGTAAAACCCGGCACCAAAATCCGTAGTCGTACTGTAAGTACTCCAAGGACATGGCTGGTTCGGTAACTTTAGCTGCAGCATATCGGAACTTCTCCGAAAATGGTCCTTGAGCCGACCGTTTTGCTGCCCGCCAAGTCGTGATGCTGATATCCCAGTACGGAGCCCGCATGCTCTTGATGCGCAGTTTCATACAAGCAGTATAGCATAGGCCGTCGGAGGATTTTGCATGCTTCTTGGGCCTAAGCACGATATGCTAATTACAGCATCAACGGCGAGGATTCGGTGGCCCTGGCCTAGCTGGATACAGTTACGCCTCGTATAAAGAGCGAATCTCCATTGCCCACGGCCCAATATCGCTCAGGTCCAGAGCCGTCAACGAGGCTGCATAGCTGGGTAGGGCCTAAAACTGTGTAGCGTCTCGTGATGCCTACCGCATCTGTCTGTGCCTTTTAGACTGTGGGGGATGCAAGTCAAGAGAGATATTGGCCGACGGCTTAGACTCATCAACACTTGCAAGTCGGTGAAGTTGCTGTTAGCCCTGTCTGTCGGAATTGCCCTGCATAGCCCAGGGTTATCCACGGGTAGTCGGGCAAAGGTGGAACGGAGCTTAGTCCAGAAGCGCAACCGTTCAGATGCTCCGTTTCACTTGGGCCTGTCCCACAGAGGGTTGAACCTCAACAAGCCGGCAGTTTCTAGAAGGTTCAAGGTCCAACATATCATTATGCCCGCGACAGAGAACAGCCGCCATTCTGAATCCCCGTCGATGATTGCACCAAGACAAACCCCAGGTATACCTGGTGAAAAAAAGCATGACACGGCGATGATGTAAACAGAAATACCTTGAGGGGAAACAAGTAGCAACACTGTATTACTTCGGAGAGTGGCATTTGCTTTCTTGGGCTGAACTGGGGGGTCTGCCGGAGACAAAAGGCGAGGCTAAAAGGAGAAACGGCCATGCAATCTGTAATATATCATATTTTTAACCTAGGCTGAGACATGCTAGTAGCAGTAGCAGAGAGATGATTACCTGTGCAAGTATGATCTTGCAATATAGGCCTGGCTGTGGCGGCCGGAGCATGGCTGGCATGTAGGAAGTTGTGACGAGCATGGAGCGGCACAGTACCCGTACTACGGAGCTGGTTCCGTTGCTATTGTCTCAGAGCAAAGATACCGTCCCTATTAGGTATTTGTCATATTATACTGGCAGTCATGCTGTAGTCTCTCAGACAAGCAGACCCCTTTAAAAGAGTGTGCGAACAGGCTGGACAAGCGGGAGAACAAGGGATGGAAATGCCCGAATGCAACTAGTGCGGGCTTTGCGGGAAGTTGACTTCCTGAGTCGGGTTAACAGCGGGATGGTGTCGCTATATTGCAATTTTTATTGCCGCTAGAGCAATCGTACCCTGTCAGGGCTGGAAAGTGAATTCCGAAGTGGAGAGAAGAGAAGGGAGCCCAGAACTCGAGCCCAGAGACGTGATGAACATTCCAGGGAGGATCAAAATAGATTGCCTAGCATATCAGTTGTGGTAAGCACCAACTCACAAGCTTTGCGCCCCCTATAAAGTTAACCTCCTAGTACAATAAACTTGTTGCGAGAGTTAGCAACGAGTAGCGAGCCGAGGACGAGGCGGTGGTAGCGGGGGGAAGTGTCCAGGCGAGTTTTGTGCAGACGCGGCGCGATACGAATTGCTACCTTGGCTGAAACTGCAGTCATCGACTTAGTCGAGCACCGGCCCGCCAATCCAATCTTGAAAAGCGAGATGTGTGCTTGAGACAACCATGCCAGGGCAGGCTCTGAGATGACGCATATGCGGGGGAGCAACCCTGGGTGAGGGGCTGGACTTTGTTCGATTCCATTCGATGCGTGGCCCGCCATTTGTTGAACGACTTGTATGTAAGAGAGAATGGCACCGGGACGTGCACGTGGGATAATACCAGGTGGATTGGCTCTGCCTATCTTTGTGACAAGGTTTCTACCACACAACACATACTTTTGTGGTGTCCTCAGAAGATATGATGACTGACGAAACGTGCTGAAGACAGAGTTGTGACCAAGTGCGGTGAGGGAGTGCCACATGCGTAGAGATGGCAATAAGCGATGACCGCCGGGCTAGCTGCTGCTGGCGCAACACTGGCCTGCGGATTGGGGTAAAGGCCAAGCCAATGATGGTTTAGCAAAATAAAGGTCTTGAAGCTGTTGCACTTTGCGGGGCGCGCCGGCGGCTGTTTTGATTCATCATCGCATTTCCAACTTTGAACCTGGTGTCTCGGCGTGAGATGCTCAGGACCACTGAGACTCGGGTGCAAGTGCAAGCCGTCACCGGGAGGACTCTGAGTACGGGTATATCTCCGGAGTCCGCCGAAAGCGGCTGCCCCGTTGAAGTACTCGTAGCACCGAAAAGGACATGGATATCGTCAGTAAAGACGCAGTGCAACATTGTCGAATGCATGAATCCCGCGTTCCGTGATCCGTGTTCCGTGGGATCGCAAAGGCGGTGATAAAGGCCGGCCGCACGGAGGGATCCTTGCAACTCCAACGGGAATCAAAACAGGGCATCCCGGGAAGAAATGGATTCCTAGAGAATGCATATATAAGCTCCGTACTGACGATGCGGAAGATGAAAAGATGGTGTTAAAGGAGTGCGGTCGATCTCACAACGCAGGCAAGCTCTGTTTTTCCTTTTCTTTTTCTTGGTGGCACCTTTCGTCGCCAATGAAGGGAGCCCTGCCGTGAGCAAACCGGATATTAAAGATGATTCCTCGCTGCGCACCGGCCTCCACA